TTAGGGTTTTCGGGGTTTAGGGTTCAGGGTTTAGGGTTTGGGGATTTTGGGATTAGGTTTTACGATGCCGGCTTGAGGTACAACATCGGCTAGAGTTTCGGGTTTTGGGGGGGGTTTAGGGATTAACGTTTACGATGCCGGCTTGAGGTACAGCATCGGCTAGAGTAACTCAAATTGAGGCCGTAACATATGCTGCCAGTAAGTAATGTCTAGAAACCCAAAGCCCTTAACCCATGAACCGTCAACTCCCCCTCAATCAGGCTTGCTAAGGCGTTTAGGGTTTACGAGTTTAGGGGTTTAGGGGCTTTAAGCCCCTAAACCCTAAACCCTAAACCCTAAACCCTAAGGGTTTTAGGGCTTATAGCGCTCAGGGTTTCACGCGATCCCGATTCCGAACCCTCACAGAGAGCCGAGCTGCCATCTGCTGTCTTGCTGCAGACTCGGGCCTTTCCGCCACCGTTTTTGTTCGGATCTTGTGGTTCGGGATTCGAAGGTTTAGGGTTTATAAGGTTTAGGGTTTAGGGCTAAGGGTTTAGGGTGTTTAGGGGGTTTAGGGAGTTTAGGGAGTTAAGGGAGTTTAGGGATTAGGGTTCGGGGTTTGGGGTTTGAGGAAAGGGGGTCGTGAAAAAGAGTTTTTTTGAGGCTTGTGGAATAATACTAGATAAAGACCGTGCTGGCGTCTTTTTTGTGTCTATGCAGATGCCGAAAGAAACCCGATAGACAACACTCTTTATAGGACCCTCAGCCTTACAAAAGCTGCTTTCTAAAACTCTGTCTGTTGCAGCCCGATACAAATCTGCTGAAGCCCCGATTACAACAACATTTAACATCTATATCAACAAAACCACTAGTCTATACTGCGCCGGACTAGATCCCCAAACAATGACGGAGCACCACCACGGCCATGACCACAGCACCGCTACCAGGTGACCACGAGACCGCAACTAATACAGGGGCCTTAATACTTAGAATAGGGTTTTGGTGTCCTTTATACTATAGTTATAATCAGGAACCCCAAAACAGTATAGGCAATGATTAAGGCCTCCACCACGAAACCAGAGGCAGACCAGTAGAAGACTGAAGTACTTCGCCCTATGTACTAGCTCGATTTCACGAGAAAACACCGCGCCGCGGCGTTAGTTGGCGAACGTTGCCATGCAAAGATCCACGAAACCCGATATGGGTGGTGGTCAAAATTATGGTCCCTTTTTGGGTCCTTATTATAATACGGCACCTATTATTTAGGGTACCCCCAAAAAGGGACCATAATTTTGACAACTCCCCATATATACTGTCTGCTTTTCGAGCTCCACTTCAGGCCTGGATCTTCGGCTCGCGACCTGCCATACCCAAGACACAAGCACGAGTAAGCATTGCGGTTTAGGGTTTAGGGTTTAGGGTTTAGGGTTTAGGGTTTAGGGTTTAGGGTTTAGATCCGAGTTCAACCTACTTTTTGTCTGAAGGGCGCGTTATGTTTTCTTGGAGGGGGCGGGCATCTATGACCCTAAACCCTAAACCCTAAACAGCTACTGCCACCGTCTGCTGACCCTTCCTGTGCTGACAGGTGGCGATGCCCACCGCCCTCCGGAAGCCTTTGTATAAACCGAAAGGCTAGGGTTTAGGGTTTAGGGTTTAGGGTTTAGGGTTTAGGGTTTAGGGTTCAGGGTAAGCCTCGAAGTCAAAGCTTCAACCCCACAAATCCCGACGAAGAGTCCTAAACTTAGCATGCAATGTTTAGTAGGAAAATATAGGGGCCTTAATAGTAATTAGAATAGGGTTTTGGGGTCCATTAATTAGCATAAGGAACCCATAAAGTAGTATCGTTACTTATTTGGGCCGCTATATTACTGGGGCTTTAGAAACAGTGGAATCGACCTCAGGCACGGAAGAAGAGCGCGCGGTAGACTCTGACGACGGCCTGGCCAGTCAGAACAGGTTTAAGGGTTTAGGGTTTAGGGTTTAGGGTTTAGGGGTCTAGGGTTTATGGGTTTAGGTGTTTAGGGTCTGGGGGTTTAGGGGTTTAGGTGTTTAGAGTTTAGGGTTTAGGGCTTAGAGATTCAGGGTTTAGGGGTTAGAGGTTTAGGGTTCAGGGATTTAGGGGTTAGGGTTTAGGGTTCAGGGGTATGGCGGCATTAGTGCTTTGGGGGTTTACGGTTTTGGGGTTGACTGTTCTAGGGTTCAGCAGGGTCCCCTCTTCGCTGGAACTCTCCAAACGCTGAGGAGCCTAAGGACGACAGTTATTAGCTGAAAGGAAAGGCGCTAGGGTTTAGGGTTTAGGGTTTAGGGCTTAGCCGATAGCGAAAGTTGAGGGTCTGACGGTTCGGGGATTAGAGAAAGACTTCCGCGACAAAGCGTTTGAACCGTTTCGGGAGCCTGCATAATGATGGGTATTGGTCTGACAGTGATGTGGGTTTCCTTGGGGACCCATTGACCCCTATAAGTAAGGGCCCCATACCCTTGTACTATGAATCCCTATATGGCATATGAACCTGAAACTGAAACCCCCTTTTAAGGGTCCCTAACCCTAAACCCCAAACCCCAAATCCTAAATTAAACCGTTATGGTTATGGTATATGAACCTGAAACCCTTTTAGGGTCCCTACTAAACCCTAAACCGTTATGGTATATGATGCTGAAACCCTTTCAGGGTTCCGTTCGTCCTTACTAGGTTAGGGTTTAGAGTTTAGGGTTTAGGGTTTAGGGTTTAGGGTTTAGGGTTTAGGGTTTAGGGTTTAGGGTTTAGGGTAGGGTTCTCGATGTAGGGTTTCCCTGCTCGCTCCTCGGGGTTGAGGGTTCCAGCAGCAGGCTCGAGGGGATGTGGGGCTCAGGCATCGTCAATAAGGCCTCATATAGGGTTTAGGGTTTAGGGTTTAGGGTTTAGGGTTTAGGGTTTAGGGCTTAAGGCCCCCTAAGCTTCAAGACTTCGACAGTTTTTGTGTGTGGATTTCCGGTGCCTCAACACCAAACCAGAAGCCCACTACACTAAACCCTCAGAGCCCAACGCTATAAACCCCGAGCCCTAACCCCAAACCCCGGAACCGAAAAATCCTCCAGCCTTGCAGCCACAAACCCCACAAGCATAAATCTCCACTTGCACTTCAAAAACTAAACCCGAAGTAATTAGGGTTTAGGCTTTAGGGTTTAGGGTTTAGGGTTTAGGGTTTAGGGGTTTAGGGTTTAGGGCCTATATAAATCCTACCCCTTGCCTCAGACCCGCCAAAGGTAGTTTTTTCATGGCCGGCTGTTCTTGCCGCGAGCCTCTCGGGCTTGAAGGCTCCATTGGGTTGAAGGGTTTAGGGGTGTTCCACTGGTCTACACATGGGTTTAGGGTTTAGGGTTTAGGGTTTAGGGTTTAGGGTACACATGTATCTGTACGAGGTTCGATTAAGCCCAGAGGGACAACGGATACGACGTTCTGACAGTATGGAATTAGGCTATGGACCCTCGGGGAAGGTTTGATTTGATTTGGGCGTTTTGGGTCACAGTTTGAGACTAGGGGCCTAGGGCTTTTTCGTGGGGGAGAAGCAGAGCCTGGAGTGTAGAACCCAAACCCTAAACTCAAAGCCCTAAACCGAAACCCTAAACCCAAAGTCCTAAATCCCTAACCCTAAACCCTAAGCCCCAAACCGAAAGCCCCAATGCTCTTCACCCTGTTCTTAGGATCGGATGCTGGTTTCGGGGCCGAAGTCCTGGCGTTTAGGAGATGCTGTGCACCGAATTCGGGAAGATGAGGCTTTATAGTAAACCCCAAAAAGTTGGAAACCGGATTAAGGACAAATGGTGCTGGGATTCCCTGTGCATTGCTCTTAAGGGTTGAGGATATTGGGTTTCCAACTTGTGGGCCTGTCCTGTATATTTTCAACATTGTATATTGCCTGTCCTGTGTGCCAGGAGAACTGAAGGTTACCTTTTGAACCCTAAACCCTAAACCCTAAACCCTAAACCCTAAACTGTAGTAGATAGTATAGTGTCCGGTGTGCTCCTGAATGAAGGGGGTATCGGGCTCGCTTGCCAAGCCAGTGTGGCTACAACTTCTTGACGACATGGCTGGATGATATACCGCAACCCTGCACCCTGAAACCCTAAACCCTGAAACCCTAAACCCTAAACCCTAAACCCCTAAACCCCTAAACCCTAAACCCCTAAACCCCTAAACCTTAAACCCTATAGCATATACCATCAGCTCCTGGTTTCCTCCTATTTCCGACTGCTTCTCCCAGACAGCCCAGGCACCACACTTCCGTCCCAAGGAGTTTGAGCTGACTTTCTTGTGGAGCCAACTAAGAAGGTTAAGGACGAAATGAACCCTAAAAGGGTTTAAGGTTCAAATACCTGTAGGGATTCAAAGTATAAGGGATATAGGGCCCTTACTTCTAAGGGTCAGTTGGTCTTTGAGGTATGAGGTGCTCAGCTACTTGGAGCTCACGCCCACAAATCGGAGTATGCTCCATGCAATATACTGAGAGAGAAAGAGTCCTCTAAACCATAAAATCGAGAGAAGGTCCATCAACGCTGGAATCAGGCAGCAGATAGATTGCCTTAGACCAAAACAAACGAGCAGACTATCGCGACTTAAACCTGCAAGACTTTTACCCTATGTTTAGAGTCCTTATACCGCTTCTAAGGCCTTATGAATCAAAACTAAAGAAATCCGAGTTGACCAAGCAGAACTTACTTTTTGTAGGGTCGCCAAAGATTCTGCAGTGGGGTTTATACTAGGGCTCTGCAACAAAAAACAGGTTCTGGTAGCTCAAGGTATGGTAAGGTTCGATCAGCATGACAACCGTTACCAGCTTATCTAGTTTGGGGCCCTGCTTTTATACTATAAGTTCACTCATTACCAAGAGTCGCTGCAACCCCAGGCCCTAATCCTTAAGCGCCTAATAAACCCTAAACCCTAAACCCTAAACCGTATAAACCACCCTGAACCGCCCTAAGCCTTCTAACCCATAGATTACAACAGACGCCGGCCTCGTCCGCGCGACGACTGGGAGTCCTTGGACCGCGCCGAGCTTACAGCCGTGGACCGCGAGGAGGATGGGGCGGCAGAAGAGACCTTCTCCCGAACTTCTTGCTTATACCCTAACCCCCCAGGTACCTACTATATAGGGTACTGGAGCCCCTAGGGCCCTATATAGTAGGTACCTGGGGGGTTAGGGTATATTGCCTGAACTGTTTGCTTGTATGATGGGGGGGGTTAGGGTTTAGGTTTAGGGGTTTAGGTTTGAGGGATTTAGGATTAAGGTGCTTCCTTCTCCTGGATTTCTTGCTTATATTGAACATTAGGGGACCATGTGCCCAAATACTATATACTTGGCCTTAAAGTAGTCCCTACATGGCTACTTTGGGGCCAATGTATATACTATATGAGTACATGGACACTTAGGGAAAGGTCCTACAGTCTTGGTAGTTAAAGTTATAGGCTTCCGGATTTTGTTACTGAAAAGGTCCTAATTTCAGGGCTGGGTGGTTTTAGGGCGTTTTCGTGGCTAGGGTTTGGGGCGCTTAGCTCAAAGGTCCGAAGGCCTTCGGTGTTACAGGGTTTTGTCAAGGATTTAGTGGCGTAAGGTCTAGGGTTTAGTGGCGGTGTAGAGTGACCCTAAACCCTAAACCCTAAACCCTAAACCCTAAACCCGTTACGGTTTCAAGGAATTTGGTGGGGTGTTGGGGATCATAGGTTCTAAGGCATATATAGTATACCCTAAACCAGTCCCTATAAAGGTGGCTTTAAAGCATATACTAGATGACTACCCCAAAAAGTCCTAAAGGGGTCCGGAGGGTTTAGTATATTATACTAGAATTATAGTAAGTAACCCCCAAAACCCTAGTCTAATCATTAAGGCCCCCACCTATAGTCTGCATCGTAGTTCCGTTTTTGCTTTAACCAATTCTATATTCAGGATCCCACAAGGTGCCCCCCAAAAGGAACTACAATGGAGACTATATATAGGTAACCCCTAAACCCGAAACCCTAAACCGTAAATCCCTAAACGTTAAACCCTAAACTCCTAAACCCCTAAACCCTAAACCCCTGAAACCCTAAACCCCTTAAACCCTAAACCCCTTGAATCCTAAACCCTAAACCCTAAACCCTAAACCCCTTGAATCCTAAACCCTAAACCCTAAACCCTAAACCCTAAACCCCTAAACCCCTAAACCCTAAACCCCAAAACCCTAAACCTAAACCCTCGGCCCCTACTTCGGCTTTAGGCTCAGCGTTTGACTGGGGCTCTGAGTTCTCGGCGGCTAAAGGGTTTAGGGTTTAGGGTTTAGGGTTTAGGGTTTAGGGTTTAGGGTTTAGGGTTCTGAAGGGCTCAATTTGGGTTTAGGTTTAGGGTTTAGTAAGGGTTTAGGCTTGAGGGTTTGGGGGTTTGGGGGTTTAGGCTAATAGCTTCTAGAAGCCCAGACAGTTGGAACATCATTCTCCTCATGCCTCTCAGGTGTAAAGTACAGGGAGCTCCAGGGCTAATCATCCTAAACCCATGTTCCAACTTTCGGGGGTTCAACTCCTCATTAACAAGCCCAAACCCTAAACCCTGAACCTTGGAGGGTGCTATGGTTTCTACTATTATGATATATATATATATAATATTTTATGCGTGTGTGGCTTTCCATATCTTCTGACACTCTTTGCTTGCCCAATGCACACTGCAGCCTTAAACCCTGAGACCCGAAGCCCGAAAAAGGGCCACAACCCCTGAGACCTTAAAGACTCCGATCTTGAACCGCAAGGCCCTAAAGCCGCATTACTACCCTTCTAAAGGAGCCCCTTACATTTTAGGGCTTAGGGTTTAGGGTTTAGTGCCTTTAAGGCAACTCCTAAAGGAACCCTCAACACTCCAGCAGGGTGCCTTCTCCTTTGGCGGCACCTTGAGGCCATCTCGGGCGTTCGGCTTCGGGTTGCCAAACTGCTCGTAGAGCCTGGCACATCCACATCCACATACATACACATACGTGCGTATATAAACAAATATATACATACGTAAGTAAATAAATATATATATATATATATATTTATTTATTTATATTTATTTATATTTATTTATTTATATTTATTTATATGCTGCAAAGCATGCATGTGTATGTGTATATATATATATATAGATATAAATATAGATATATATATATATATAGTATAGATACATACACATATATATATATATATAGAGAGAGAGACGGATACAGGAATACATACATACGTGCATGGGGAGTTCTCTAAATTCGAGTCCCTTATTAGATGCCCAATATAGTACGGCACCCTTACAAAAAAAAGACACTAAAGGGACCCTAAATTAGATAACCACCCACATACATACAGACATCAATGCAGACAGACAGACAGACAGACAGACAGGCAGACAGACAAACAGACAG